AATAAATAATTGTTCATAAAGAATACTATAACAATACGCATGGCTTATAGTATATTCTAACATCTCCCACGCCTTCAATCCATCACGAACAACAGCAACATACTGCTCCTGCTGGTGGACTTCGAGCTGACACACTTCCACACCAGAAACAACAAGCCGTTCTAGTGCAAGACTTACTACAAGTATGTTTCTTTTCCATAACCGTGAACTCAAAACATTAGCCAACAAATTCCGACTTTCCATCAGATTTTTGCACCAATTCAACTTAATACATGCAACATTGTGTGTGTAGAATAAATCTTTCTCCTCTATCTCAACCAAAGTAACTGTTGCAGAAGAAACCTCCATTTTGTCATAAGCGAGCGAAATATCTTCACGAGACTGTGATTGAATGTCAAGGGCATAGAAGACACTAATAATGCTTCTATTAACGAGAGGTTGATGAAATTCCAAGTGAGATATTAAGTACTGCAAGGCAGAGGCGGACCCAGGATTCGAGCATGACGGGGGCACCACTGTATATGCTAATCGCCAGCAATAAAATTCGGCGTGCAACTCTTTGAAACTTAATGATTATGATGACTTATCATCCAAGTATTAACAAAAAGAAGTTCTAAAGAAAAAGAAAGCACTAAACGGGGGGAGAGAGAGAATTCTTCGCAATAGGGCATTCAAACGTAAAATTATAAAAGACTTACTAGAGAAATTAAGATTAAGAGTATGTTATTACTAAAAGAATTGAAGAAGAGTCTCAAACTCTTAGTTTCTATTGCCAATTCAAAGTGATTGTTAAAGAAGATTGTGGCAGAAGATTTGTAATTTTCTATTTGTGGAGCGATAAGTTGCAATTTGAGACTTTCAATTCTAAGGAAGGAATTTACAAAAAAGAATAAAATTAATTAAGTTTGACTATTTTGTATTAGTACTAAATTATAATTGAATATTAAAAAAAGAAGATTAAAGTAAAAATAAAGTAATTTGCTATTAAATAAAATTTACATTGTATTCAAAGAACTAAAATAAAAAAAGGAGAAAAGACTGAGGAAAGCTTTGGGGGTTTCGAACCTGCGTCACCACAGCATAGGAGAGAATTTAAGTGCCCAAAGCAACCACTTCTTCCATCCATCACTTTGGGGGCACCATTAAAATATTTAAGGGGGTATATAAGTACACATATATATATAATATGTATATACAAAATTTTTGCCGAGGCTAACGGGGTCACATGACCCCTCAACTACGGACCTGCTGCAAGGTCACGATCAAGTATTTTGAATACATAAAAGGAAGACCAAGTTTTAGAGCATCTAAAACATGTAGAATTTCAATTGATCCTCCTGGGGATAGAAGGTTTGTAATGCCTTCATTTTCAGGTTTCCAAAGAAGAGCAAGCACAGGCAGTGACTTAAAGCTTTGCACCACCATGCCAAGAAAATCAGATGACATTTTCTTCACATTCGTTCCCTGCCCAGTATCCAGCAAAATCCAAGCATTTATGCCAAAGTTATGATGAATCCACTTGATGTATTGGTCAATACCCTGAGTTGCCTTTATGTTCCTCATCTCTTCAAAATGGTCTGTCACTTTTGGAGCTCTAGTTTTATGAAAAACAACAAATAAAACTCCATTTGGAAGCTGGACACCAAGATAATGAACAATTTTTCCAAGTTCACCCTGCACCCTGTAAATACCTTTAGGCTTCAAGTAGTTAGGGGTGGTAGCATCTATCTTGTTGCAGCAGCAGCAGATACTTTCCTTGACACCAAGTGTAAAAGCAAGCAATGTACGCTCACATGTATGACCATCCTTGGAAATACCACCCTCAAAACCACCATTGGTGGAGTCAATGATAAGGACGACACAGTCGGCTCCGGAGGTACCAACAATTATGTTCTTGATCAAGTTCCTGTGTTGAGGGGTATCAATCACAGTACAGTAGTATTTAGTGGTCTCGATTGTCCACAGAGCAATATCAGTAGTAATACCACGTTCTCGCTCTGCCTTGAGCTTGTTAAGCACCAAGGCATACCAGAATGGCCTCTTGTTCATCTCAGTAGCTTCTTTCTCAAACCTCTCAATAACACCCCGGTCAATAACACCAATGTATGCCAACCCTTTGTTGCTATCCACAATAGGCTTCGATTCCAAATCCAGACCAAGTCCACTGGTGAGTTCCTCATAGCGATTTGGTTCCAAAACAGCCATAAGCAAACTTACAGGGCCACCAATATTACTTACTAATTGAAGCCAATTTAATCCAGCTTCCTCATGTTGAGGACATTCATCGTCTTTTACTACAACCTCATTATCTTCAAAAGCAAAATCATTGTCATCTACAAGGTAATCGTCAATTCCATAAAAAACAGTGGACCCTTCATTAGAATCTGGTGGAACAACTCCAAAATTATCTCCTAAAAAGGTATCTTCAAGGAGTTCATCATTTCTCTTAAATTTCCCTATCTCAGAAGGCTCTAGATGGTCTTCGCAACAAAACGAAAGTAGAATCGACTCCTTATTGGCAAATTCAGTAGTCAAGTTAATATCATTTCTCCTAGGACTTCCATCGAACACATCTACCTCACCTTCAGGAATTAAAATCTCTTGAAAAAGCTGCCTAGCTATTTGAGTACAGTTGTCAAACACCTCGTCTGCATTTTCACCTTCGATTCCCATGGTCAGGTTTTCGACCCAGTTCCCCATACTTGAATCGGATTGAATCCCCGACAAAACGGCTCCTTCGTCCTCAATGTTTCCAGCTTCAAATTCATTCAAAATAAATGGAGTCTCAACACATGGGTAATCAATTTCCTGTATTTTGTTCTCAAATACCCATAACCAGACTTGAGCAAGTTCTGTAGCCCAGCGGCAGTCATGGACACCACCGAACCATCCCAAACTGAACATAATAGAAACCCGGATTTGTAATGTCAACCTGATAAGCATATGGAACCTGAGGAGAGTACGGGCACGAGTCACCATGGTAATACTCAATGCCATGGGGATTGGAACTCAGGTCTGGACTGTAATACGGATGAGAATAAGTGTATGCAAAAGGATTTTCATAGTAATGCTCAACCCTAGAGGATTCTCGATAACAATCTGTATTTTGTATCGGAATACTGATGATTTGCGTACGGGTCATCGGAAACCCGCTGCTCACTCTCCGGACTTTGAACCTCATGCTGATTTGATGAACTATGGAAGGTCCTGGATAGATGATGATATCGTTCTTCTAAATGCTGAATTTTTTTCTTCGATCTATCCATAAAAGCTTGGATCTGTTGCTCTAATTGATTTTGAGCTCCGCCAAAATTCATAGTTTTCTGTCTATCTTCCATTAACATAGGTGAACAGCCGAGAATCGTAGGCTCTGATACCAATTGTAACGATTCCTATGTTGGAATCGTCATGAAAATGGAAAACAAGAACTAAAAAGAAAGGAAATGAAATGCAGAGAAAGGAAAAGACTCAATTTTCATTCAACATGTCTTTGAAAATAATCATAACAGGTATTTAAAGAACAGGGGAAAAAGTGCAAAAAGCTAACTTTGGGGTAAAACATCAACACAATAACTATTTTTGGGACTCAAGTGTAATTATTCTAAACTAGGGCCTATTTTCTTCATTTCCATTCGTTACAACATATTTGTCAAGTGAATAGAGAGGTGTTAAATACTGATATTTCAGACTTAATTCTTATCTAAGTGTGAGTATACATCCAAGTTGTATGTTGATATTTTTATTGTGCAAGTGTGAGTAGTTATTGTCTTACTATTGAAAAAATCTTACAATATTTGACCAAAAATTTTTTTGCAACGTGCTTGCTAAAGTGGAATTTTCTTATTTCTTCAAATTAGAAACAAAGATCTTTCATATTTATGGTCTAAAATTGAAACTTGAAACCCCACGAGAATGGGATGCTAATTGTTAGAATCGTCCGAATGACTACTGTGCCACTGTTATAAATAAATAAAAAATTTGCGGGTGCGGGGTGGGTGAATGCGGGTTTAAATGGTATGCTGGGCGGGGCGGGTTTACCGCCTGCCATTCCTAACTTTTGAATTTAGAATTTCTTTCTGTGTCGCTCTAGTTTAGCATAACAGTAGTACACTCTAAAATGTTGATGTACTACTACTAGAATCATGGTTTGAAAGGCGAAACTGGAGAGGGAAAAGGCTAGCTCATTTCTTCTGGCACAGTGCGAACTACGAAGGCGGATGCAGAAGAAGAAAAAAGAGTTAAATGAAGACGATCACACATCAGGTTCGTGATATGTTCTATTTGTTTTGAATTTTGATATTAACGAACGTGTACTTTTAAGTCTGCAATTCTTTGACATTTTAATCAGAAATTTGAAACAAACAGATTTGGATGTCATAATTTCTCTCTCTCTCTCTCTACAACTATGGATTGACATCTGATTATTCTTCAAATGTTTCAAATACTTATGTGGGAAGTTGCTTGGATATAATAGTGCCACTATTATTGGTAAAGACAATGTTAGGGCTAATTAAGAAAATTGTCGAGGATATTAACAGTTGTTGATTCATGATAAAGGTTTGGTGAAAGAAATCAATGCAATTCGCTTTTATCTCCTTATGATGGAGAAATACGAGAAGCAAAATACTAATTTGGTAACTCTAGTTAATCAGCGTGTTAATGAATGTTGAACGGATTACATATATAATGGACCTTATCGGCCTGATTTAATGCATATTGTTGCTTTATGTAGAAAGAGGCTAATGATAGGAAGAAGTAGGAGCCATTGATATGGGATTCAGGATGATTAGGTGCATTTTCGAGGAGCCTCGTTTAAAAGGGCCCTGAAGACGGACAATATGGGATAGATATCATTGTAAATCATGAGTTTTGTAAGTGTTCTGATGACAGAATTAGCTAGTTTCTCACCTACTTTTAAAGTGTTCGGTGTCTAGCAAAGTATAATGGAAAGATGCTATGAAGGTTATACACCAAGTATGCTCGTGATTCCACTCTGGCATACTTTACTATTGAACTTGTTTTTGATGTAGGATGTCTTGGTTCACACTTTCACTTCTATTCTTATTACATATTGTCAGGGTTTATTCTTGCCAAGAGTAAAAGAAGTGAGGACTTTGTTATGTTTTGTTTAATTGCAAGTTTAAAGGACACCAAATGTATGGTCCATGCATGCTTAAACTATTGAGGCTTTTTCTTTAAATACTTTTTAGTGTTATATTTGCTATACTTTAAGGTGGCTTGGTGATGTAAGGTCCTTAATTATACATAGAGTAATAAGGTCTCTGTAAATTGTAGGTGTTCTTATGAGGGTTATAGAAATGCAAGAAAGTGAAATTTTGGTATATCCAAGATACTCTGTGAAGATAAGTTATTAAGGCTGTGGCCTAGTGATCAATAAAGTGGGTGAAACTTCTCATCTATCCAAGCCTTGGTGGATAGAGTTATCAGGTACTTGTGTTGGTGGTGGGAGGTGGCAGGTACCCCGTGGAATTAGTCGTGGGAGGTGGCAGATACCTCGAAAAATTAGTCGAGGTGCGCGCAAACTGGCCCGGACAATATGGTTATCAAAAAGAAAAAAAAGTTACCTAATCTGACTGTGTTCATGACTTTGATTCTCCAAGTTCTTTAAAAGCACTACTCGTCAATGTTCAACATCAAAGGCACCTAATGGTTAACGAGTTACTTCCTCATCTTCGATAAGCTCTGCTGTCTTTCGTTGGTTCTTTTCTAGGTGTTCGTTGTGATCTCAAATAGTTTTTTCAGTATCTTCAACAGTTAAATTTTGTTTGTTTCTTTCTGGGATGTTGTATACTGATTGACTGATTGTTGGCTATATTTGTATTGGTAGGCAATTGGATGGTCAAAAGAATATCAACTGTTAATAAACAGTAAACTTTACTGTAAATACCTACTGACAGAATATGCATAGCATTGGATCTCCACTGCCTTTATACTCAAATTAAAATGAGTTCGTACTATGCCTTGAGCTGATATTATCTGCTAGTACTGACAAGTGACTATAATAATCTAAACTAAAGGGCAAAAGAGTTATTTGAGCACAAGAACTAAATGCAAGTTTGTTCAGTTCAACAGATGCTACTTGGGTGTTATTTTCTTTGCATTTACTTTTGTGCTAACATTTTGCTTTATACAATGACCTGTACTTTGACTAATCTAAATGTTGGCTGTCGTTCTATATGACTACCTTTCAGCCAGTGGCGGAGCTACATAGCTCCAAGGGGTGGCTTCACGAAAAAATACACTGTTTAGATAAGTAAATTTTTGTATGTATATATATTATGTATTGAATTCCCTTGACCTATTTGTGTATTTACTTCTTTAAATTTTGACAAATCCTCGCTCCGCTACTGCTTACAGCGTAGTGATTCATGCTAGTTGGGTAAGGGTCGGGTGAATTGATGAGCTTCTCTGTTGTTTACAACAACAGAACAACTACCAGTAGTTTGTTCTTTCCATCTGCTATTGTGCACCGAAAGTGGAATATGCCAACTCTGTGTCCAAGTGAAAACATTTGTACTTTTCTTTTTGTTAAGGTACAATTTACATGCATCTTATAGTTTCTTTGTTTGATTGGTGCATTTTATCGAACAAAACGTTAGTAGGTGTCCAAATTTTACCTCATTATTTAGGACCCAAATTCTAGGCTCTTAATTTCTTTTCTCACCGTTCCTTTTCCCCATTACTGTGTTCTTCTGGTGTTTTTGTTTGAATGCTGCTGGTGTTATGGGATATATGCCATACACAGTAATCTGTCACTATTGCCATTATTAGAAATTTAGAACTGCTTCAAAAAGTTTTCAAAACTGTTTGGCAAGGCCTTCTAAGTCCTCTAATATAATGGTGATAGAACCTTGACCTCTGCCGTGAAAGTTGCCCGTACTGGTCTGTGGTCTGACAATCTAAACTCACCTCTATTATACTGGCTTTGCTTCAGTCCCTTGCCAAACCATATAATCCTGTCACACCTATAGAATATTTTTCTTTATTAAATATGCTTGTTCCATTTGCTTTTAGGTCAAATAATTCTTATGTTCTTAGGCAACTTACCAAGCTGGGGCTCGACTCTTTCCCCTTTTCCCGTTCTGACTGCAGCCATAATAATCATCGGAATCTGGATAATATTTGTATGTTGGTGCAAACTCAATTTCTTCCTCTTGCCAACCTTTGAAAATACAGCCTTCTCTTAGCTCGGCCTTCAGCTTCATATTTCCAAGTTTTCAATGTGAACTTCCAAATAATGGTGATACTAGGAGTACAAACTTACTGTATATTTGAATGCTTTCTGGAACTTTATAATTGTTATTTTTTTGCTTACAGTACCTGATCCTTTTGTAATAAGATGCTCCACTGCCTGTCGTTGACTAAAGATCTTGTTATGGCTTCAGGCAAGTAAATCCTATAATTCAGGTCTCCTAGCCAAATCACCCTACTGTATGAGATTAACCAGCTTATGGTTGTTAGAAGATAATTTCAATATATTCACAAGTTGGTATATAATAGTAATCAATATGTCCAAAGTGAAGTCTTCTTTGTTGTACCTATAACACGTCAGCTAGCCAAATCATCTACAGTATGATGTTAACCAGCTTATGGTTGTTAGAAGACTTTGCAAGATATTCACAAGTTGATATATAGGAGTAATAATCAGTTTATACGAAGTGAAGTCTTCTTTATTGTGCTAAGAAAGACAAGTGTAAAACTATTTGCGCAAATGCTGACATGTGCATTTAACACAATCTCTTTCCCCCTTATCTTTTATGTTCTTTTTCTCACCTAATCAACTGTCTATGGGTCTTGGGCAGGATAATAGCGTCTGCTTCTTGCCTCTACGAAGCACAATCAAACGTTTAACTGTGTTATCAGCACACTAGCTGCTGATGCTATATCAAGATTCAAGGTACTGTAACTCTAAAGGAAAATGCTGAGGCCATGAGAATCCAAAGAAAAAAAAATGCGACTGTTAATAATATTATGAAAAGGTAAACGTACTCGTGCTGTAGAATTTTTCTTGGCAAATGCTGAAATGAGTCACAAGGAAATCTTGTGCGTGATAGTATTTGGGAGGCATCTGCATTTCTCTGTCTCTCATCTCCTTCTTTTCCTCCGGAAGCTAAGTGACTACACACAAAGCAGAAGCTTGTTTCATGCAAGCAAAATCTAACCGACACTGAACCCTGTATATCAATTACTGGAAATTAGTAAATTGAAAGCTAGATGCATATGATTGTGTTTCTATCCTGTTTGGTACATTTATACTCCATATATTCTCTGATTATGGAGTTACACCCTGGTGGCGGGGGCGCAGCGTGTGCAAATAACTCAAATTTTATATCTTGCTTCCTATAATTTATCAGTAATTATTATATTTTGTATATGATCAAGAAATAGAAATTTACATCAATTCTTTACCTTGTTTCCGAGGTAGCCAAATATACCACAGCCTACAGAGGAGACACTTGTATGCCTGATATATGGAAGGAGTGGAGACCTCGCCCATATGGTAATAAAAACTCCCACCATTTGCTTGCTAATTATGCATTCAAAATGTGAGGAACTCTCTTTGTTTAGTGGGTAAACCTTTTGATTTTCTTCTTCCTCTATCTTGTTCAGAGCTGTTCTAATAAGAGAATTCCATTGCATGCATAAAATTGTGTTCTCTGGCACTATAACACTTCCAGCATTCAGAGGTACAATTTCTTGAAACCTGATAAAAGTTATTTGCTCATGGCATGTACATTCTCGAACTAGAATTTTGACCATTAGCTACTACAAATATAAAAGTACTACCTTGACCAAGCCAACCTGATATCAGATGGCAATGCATTTGCATGCTGCTGCATACTCTCAAGGGCAGCCGCAAATGCAAAATGCAGTCATTAGGTGGTTTGGTTCATTTACCTATTAGTAGAATGCTGTATAGTGAAAGTAATGGTTACCCGAGAACATAAATATCAGCCAAGTTGTTTCGAGTATCAAGCAAGCCCTCCATATTTAAGTCGTTGGGTGGTGCAATGCCTCCAACATTCCATGAGCTAATAAATAATCTTATTGAGAAGGAAAAAACAATAAATATGAGATACTGGAATTTGAAGACGAATTTAAATGTTAATTGTTAAATAGACGTACGAAAAATTTTGTATGTCGGCCGAGAGGTCTGATGTTGTATCAGAGTCAGCTAGCATGATCTCATCGTCCGATCTGCTCTATAGGATGGTGTTTGCTGCAAACTTAGCTGCATGACCTTGAACAGAGGACATAACAATAGACTAAAGAAAACCAGAATTTACTTCATCATGTAGGCAGAGTGCATGGGGAGAGAGAAGAGAGAGAGGGAGAGAGAGAGAGCAGTGGTAATGGAAGCTAATAAGTTAAAGGAAAGTATATCCATATAAAGGGAAAGGAGGCTGAGGATTTGATTTGCAAAGGAGGAAGATGAAGAGTTGTTAGGTCTTCTTTGGAATGTTGAGAGGGTAAATGATGCTATGAGTGGGTCTCAGATGCCAATAAAAAGAAAGGAATTGTTAAAACAACAGTTAAAATGAAACAGAAAATAAAAAAGTATTTGATTAATCCATAATTGGAAGGCCAAGATAATAAGGGAGGTGATGTGAGTGATGATGCAAGTTGGATTAGGATGTTCTGTTTAACTTTAAACTAATATTTCTTATGGAAAACCAATGAGATACTCTCTTTTATTTGATCACATAACGACTTTAATTTGTAACATTCAAGGATGGCTGGCAAGGTTGCCACCTTTGGTTATAAGGACTTGGTTTCTTAGTTGAGTTGAAAAACATTTTTTGTTATCTTATAACTAAAGAATTTGTCTTCAGTAAGATGATGATAGCTTATATGAGTCATTTTGGACCTTTTTCTGGGGAAAGATACAACAATTTCGAGAAATTAGAAAATTTGTTGTGATTTTTTATGTTTGAAAATAGCTTTTGCATTTACCATAAACAAAGTAAGTTTTTCCGCAATTAAATACTCTGTCTCTTGTATTTCTGTTGTCTAATCTTTGCGAAACGTATACTTTAATGAAGAATCGAATTGTTTAGTAAGAAGCTCTTTTCTTGCTTGGGTTATTGAAATAGGAAACAGACATGCACTCTAAGGTGTGGTCTAGTGGTCAATAAAGTGGATGGTTTAAATCTCAATAGAAACAAAAAACACTAGGTGATTTCTTCCAATCTTCGTGATGTTTATCCATCACAAAGTTGTTGATCTGCATGAGGAAGTATTGTCATCTATGTATTGAATTATCTCATGGTTAAAAGTTTTCCATGAAATCAAACTGATCTCAGTAGAGACACAAGTTCCGACTAACTAGCCGTTAATCATTTGGTATGCATGACATTTGAAATTAGTGCACAATAGAACACTTAACACTAATGTTTTTTTTTCTTTCCTTTTTTCTCTTTTGGGTTAATGTGGGAGTAGAGGAGACAATTAGACAAGACAACAATGACTGTTATGAGACAGATATTTCACCTCGTAACATTATCATTCGAATTACAATCTTTTGACTACTGAATTGTTTCTTGAGACCAAAATGTCATTTTCTTCATGTAGGGTCATTTAGTCCATGCATGTGATTGGATGGACGGAGAAAACTGAGTGTCCAATTGGTCAGTTCCATAGACGTACTAAGAGATTGAACTAATGCATAATTCAGTCAACCAAGTGGTGCCCTTTCACTTATTTTATTAATAATATAACACAAACAAAAATTAATCAGGTCGTTTTATTCTGATTGGCTTTGGCTACACCAAACATCCATTATCACCCTCAACAATGATGAAATAACAGTAAACCGTTCTTTTCTGAGCAAAGAAGGCCACCGGTTATTGCTTAACCAAAGAAAATAATAATAATAATAATAATAATAATAGTAGTAGTAGTAATGATAATAATAATAATTGCATTTATTCTTAGCCAATCACGATTAGTAACTATGATCTTGGAGGACACATTTTTTAATCCTATTTCCTTTGTTGTAGTAATTAAGGAAGAAAAACTCACTGGTATCTACGACTACCATGAATACAGGACATGTTGCGGAAGCCAAATGTATATAGTGTGAATAAGTCACAACTACTATACCAAAAATTA